GTACTGATAAGTACATACTACTTGATCAGCCAGAGCGATAGGAGGTAATCCTTGCCTATTTTTGACTTGTGCCTCGTGACATGGGTCACTGTTGAGGACTCCCAAGACCATTCTGTCCTGACAGTATAATACAGTGTAACTACCTCTGGTTGGTCTGTACTGCTAGTGGGAGAGGACATCATCCAGTGCTGGTGATGGAGGTGTTTCAGATTATGTTTGTAGAGTATAATTTGGCAATTGTGAACATACCTGTTCGTTGCTTGATGAGTCTCGGAACAATTGTGCCAGTTTTGGCATATGACTGCAGACGTTGATGAAAAGGGCTTCACAAGGTTGTAGCCTTGACTTTATTGCACCTAGATCCATCCAATTTAATCTTATATAAAGTTTTTTTGTAGCGATTTGATACAGCTGAATGGTTTGCATGATAATTTCAAAGGGCAGTTAAGAATTAACCACATTTCTCTGTATCTGGAGTCACATGGAGGCCAGCTCAAATAAGGAAAGATTTCCTTCTCTAAAGGGCATTCATGAAACTGATATTTTTTTTATGACATGGTCACCGATACTGAGACTAGCTTTAAATTTCAGATTTATTGAATTCATTTTAGATGTCACTAATTGTCATTGCCCCTAGTGTATTAACCCAGCCTTTGGATTACTATTTCAGTAACATTGCCACCATGCCACTGTTCCCATAGTTTCAGAAGATTAGACTACTATCTGCTTCACCCATGATTTCCATTTACCAGAGTATATCTCTTTGTAAGGTTTTTGGACAATACAAAAACTGCATATAAAAATTAAAGAATTCACAAAAGGTGTGGGAGGGAGGTCCATGCTGATATAGTCATTCATGGACACCAAGTAGAGTTGTATTAATGGGCCTTTTCTATAATTTCAACAATAACAATGCGTATTTACATAATGCCATTAACTTGATTTAATGCCCTAAGGGATGAGAGTGTTTCACGAGAGTGTTATTAGCCAAAATCTGACATTGAGACATCAGGAGATATTGTTTGTTCAAAACAGTAGTTTTTCAGGATTACCTTAAAGAAAGGTGGAAAGTTTCTGGGAGGGAATTCCAGAGCTTGGGACCAAGGCAGCAGAAGATACGATCAGTTACAGAACAGAGAATGTTCAGGATGTTCAAGAGGCCAGAGTTGAAGGAGCACTGATAATCGTGGAAAATGTCGACAGTAAAGCATTACACCAATGTGGATGAGACCATGAACAGAATTTGAACAGGAGAATATAATTTTCAATGTGTTATGGCAAAAGTAGGTAGGAGTGGTCAATGTCATCTTGCATAAAGGAAGGAAACAAATGCACTTAATGTATAATCAGCAATTTCTGTAATTTTTAGATGAGTGAGGATGGTGGTAAACTTGCCCTTTGTAATCCGAATACTTTTCTTTGAAGCAGCTCAAACTTTGAGCATTTAAACAGTTCTTATATTATTTATCAACACAAATATGATTCAACTGTTACTTTAGTTTGGATGAACAAATTATACTTAGGAATTATTTCAGTGAATGAATAGTCCCTTAGAACACAGCACTATTAAATAAGTACACCTGGCCTTCAAATCCTGTTTATATATTCATTTTATTCCAATGAGATTGATCCCTTAATGTATTCAATTAGAAATCTTAGTAAAAATCAGGAAACATTGTTGACACAATAGTTCTGCACTTAGATTTTCATGAGTGGAAGTCCTTAGGAAATGCAGAACAGAAAAACATAGCATTCCAAACACTAAATCCTCAGATTAAACAACAGGAAAAGCACAAATACATCTCACCAGTTAGCCTGGAGGTACATGGACTTGGATGACACAGTGTCTGAATGTAACAAAATTTCAAACTATGATATTAAAATATCATGAACCATCACTTCGAGATGAGATCAGCCATGATTGTATTGAATGGCGAAGCAGGCTTGAGGGGTGGAATTGCCTACTCCTGCTCCTAGTTCTTATGTTCTAAAATTTGAATTAGATCTTTTGGTTTATTTAGTGAATGTTTTAAATTCGAGAATCTTCTGTGACTCCATGCATTTGCTAATTCTGCGTAATGGTGATTAACTTTAGAAAAGCCCATGGTAAGTGAAGTAATTATTGTGGCTTTTATATTGTATAGATATAGTTACCTGCAAATCAGAAAAAATCATTTGGTACTCTCACATTAGAAACAGAATAGAAAAGCGACCTCGTCCATTTAACTATATGTGTCATTGAAAAGCAGAATGCCCACAGTCATGCTACAGAGATCAGGTTCTATTAAGTCTCTAATCATTAGTCTCCTCTATTTGATGTAAGTTTTCTTGTGTTGCACACTGCGTGTCAGCAGAGGCTTGTTCTCACTTTTGGACATGCAAGGTTCATGGTTCCACTGAGTTTGGCAAACATTTAACAGTGAAGCAAAATTTTATAGCTGCATTCAGTCTCAGTTTTGGCTTATTCTAAAATTCTTCACAGTGGGAGTTGTTTTAAAGTTCTTTCATGTAAAAAAAACCTCAATTGTAGAATTATTTCACCAACAGCCTACAGCATCTAATGTTTAATTCTAATAGCCAATAGTCCTAATGCATGAACACCACACTCTATGTAATACTGTCAAATGGTGCTAGCAAAGGTAAGGAAGCTGAGCTTCCCAGTCCCTAACTCTCGAAATACAACTTAGCCCTGCAGTAAAAATAATACTGGGGCAACAACAGTAAGTCAGAAGACGGGAATTTCATAATGAGTAATTCACTTCCCGATTCCCTAAAGCAAATATCTATATCTATAAGGCACAAGTCAAGATTGTAATGGAATACTCTCCACTTGCACGAATGAGTGAGCTCCAAATTGAGACACTCCATGCCATCCAGCAGAAAGCAGCCTGCTTATTGACATCCCATCCACCGCCTTAAACATTCATTCAATCCATTACCGACACAGTTTGGCAACAGTGTGTACCGTATCCAAGACACATTGCAAAAATTTTCCAAGATTCCTGCAACAGCATATCCCAAAGCTTGACTGTTGAGAAGGAAAGGGCAGTAGAGACAAAAGAACACTTCCACCATCAAATTCCCCTCTAAGCCTCACACTAACCTAACATGAAAATACATCATCATTCTTTCATTATAGATTGGTCACAATCCCAATATTCCCTGTCTAGCTACACCCCATAGACTGCAGTCATTCAAAAAGGCAGCTCAGTTCCACCTTCTCAAGGGCAATTAAGCTTTGGCAACAAATTTTGGCCTTGCCAACGGTGATCACATCTCATGAAAGAATTTTTTAAAAAAATGAATCAATAATGTGATCTGGCTCCAAAAAGGTTTTAATTATCAAGCTGACTTGATTGAATGCTCTTTTCTCTTAAAGTTTAGGAAGTTATGATGATTTAAGTGGCAAATATATAAAGATTTGAAAATCCTATACCTTTTGCATTCGTGACTAGTGTTAATCATTTCCCAGATTATACACATTTCAGATACGGAGTGAAGTTCCATCTGCTCTGTCTCTTGACCTTGGAAAAATGCCCCCCACTAAGCCAGTGTGACACTTCTGTCAAATATACCAGTCATATTCGTGGTCCCTGAGAGTGAAATTGTCAACTTTGTATAATTTGTATTTGATTATAGGTAGTTTTCTAAATGATCTTGAGAGTTGAAACTGAAGTAGTCTTTGATATTTTATGATGTTTGTGTAGGAAAAGGTCAAAAGTCACATGACATCAGGTTGTAGTCCAACAGGTTTATTTGAAATCACAAGCTTTTGGAGCACAGCCCGACGAAGGGGCTGCATTATGAAAGCTTGTGATTTCAAATAACCCTGTCGGACTACAACCTGCTGTCACGTGACTTCTGACTTTGTCCATCCTAGCATCTCCATGTCATTCGTGGGAAGTGGGGGAAGGAAAATGGTTGCACTCACTAAGTACTGCATATACTTTATAGAAAAAAAAGTGTTTTGAAGCTGTTTCTTATTGAATCAAAACTTTGATCTTTCAATCTGAACTCAATTTCAACCCAGATTGTGGTGGTGAATCTGTAAAGCCATTGAACCAAACAGTCCAAAACTCCAGATTTCTTAAATCAGTCGCATATTCGATCATTTGATAGTAATTTGTTTTGAAAGTATTGTCTATATGTTTTCACTAATTGCTCTCACTGGTCAGATAAATAAGTAAAGGTATTAGCTTTTGAGCAATTATATAAATAATAATTAGAGATGATCCAGCAATTCACTAGGCTGGAGAGAAGGGAACGAAGATCAGTTTATGCTGATGTATTCCTTCAATGTTTTAAAATAAATGACAGAAAACCATGTGCTCTTTTTTTAATTGCAGATCCTGTTTACCCTTTTTTTTTCATTCTTAACTTGATCCATCTCCGGTGACTAGTTTAAAATACATCAGTTGCTTTCCCCATTCATTATGCAGTTAGGAGTCCAATTTGATGGTGAACCAAAGAATTTGATGATTTTACAAATGCAGGTCAATCCTTCCTCTTCTTTATAGGGAGGGCTAATGTTCAGATTCTGTATTTTGAATGTTGAGAAAAGGGCTAATGATTTCAAATGTTCCCTGTGTTTCTATATGAAGCAATGGGATTATCATAGCATGTCATAAGAGATTATATGAATGGAGCTCTATAAAGATCCCCTCCCCGTTTAGGAAAGTCATTTGTATTGAAACTGTTAGTCAAGGGTTCCAAACTATAGGAAATAAATTAACTCAATAATTATTTTACAGCTTTTCTCCGTATTTCACAAGCCAGCTCCCCAGGGGAGCAGCCTGGCGTTTTAATGTTGGTGTAGCCTCTGATATTGTTGAAAGTGTGGGAGAGGAGTCCCATTTTGTTTCCTAATATGTATTGACTTGTTAACAGTGTACATTTATCAGGTGTAACATTACTGATTATGAAAGCACTAGTTTCCTGATTTATATGACTGAAGGCATAACTAATTTTTCTTTCTTTTTTTTATTTAACCCATTTCTCAGGCATCTCATACACAGAATACCGCACAGGTATAAAACCATTTACTAATCTTACACGTAGTTGTAGCTTATTGTCAAATTGTAAAATATTGAATGAAATACTTGCAAGTACACGAGTATGTTAAAATTGTACATAAACATACATTTTAACTTGAATGCCAGACAAGCTCTAAATAAGATACAACTGCTTCTGAGGTACTGTATTTTCTAATAACTGTCTGATGTGAAGATCATAATTAGCACTAAGAAAGCTAATTCATTGAGTAAAATGCAGTCTTGTATCAATTGATGTAAGAAATTATAGTAATGTTTGGAAACTGTGCTGAGGGAGTGTTGCCATTCTGCTGATTTCAAGGGAAGTCTATTATTAACAACAGTTTATTGAAGCTTCCCGTATTTCCAGAGTCCCTCCCATCCCAGTCCTGATTTATATACTGATATAATCATCTTCTGTTGGTGAAACTGCCTGAGCTGATGTACAACCTAAAATCAAACTTATCTCTCTTTAATGCCCAGAAAGCCACCCACCCCCCACTCCCCTTCATTATCTGTGTGTCAGTTTCAAATCAATTCTGCAATTGCTGAATCAACCAAATAGCAAGCTTGCACATTGGATTGGATTCCCAAAGATCAGTTGCTGTAAGAAATGTTCCCTACTTTCCCTTATTAAAAAAGGAAGAGTATTTGCAGTGTTATGGGGAGAACCTGGGACATGGGTTTAAACTGGGCGACTTTGCAAAGAGGCAGCATAGCCACCGTGGATTGAATGCTGTCCTTATGTCAGATGCTTAAAAATAAATCAAAAGTAATTGATTGTTTAATTGCAGTAATTTTAATATTGACCCTAATACACCTGAAGGAAAAACCAAGAGCACCATTATAAGGTGATTTGAATTGCTTGAAAAGTGGTGTTGGTGTGGCAGTGAGCTTACTATACCGGCAACCATCCCCCTTTCATTGCTTACTTATTCTGAACTCTCAGTTCCCTATAATTTCACATCTTCCTTCTCTTGTTATTTCTATTTAGATTCTTGTTGCAAGAAGGACTTGTATTTTTCAACTATCTCTCACCATGCCTAAATTGCTTTAAACCAATGAAGTAATTTGCTGAGGTGTGGTCACTGTTGTAATGTAAGAAACATTGAAGCCAGTTTTAACAAGGCAATCTCCCAATCACCACAGTACATAACCTGTTTTAATGCTAAAGCTGAGGGATAAGCATTGATTAAGCCAACAGGAGATCGTGTTGTGGGATCTAACATTTCTATCTGAGAAAACTGACAAAACATCCATTTACCATCTCTTCACCATCTCTTTTGAAAAATAGTAACTTCCGCTGTGCAACACTTCCTCAGTATCACAAATGGCTTGGATTGCATGCACAAACTTCTGAATTAGGTTGTGATTCCAGAACCTTTTGATTCAAAGGCAGGAATGTTACTGAATAAATCACAACTGAGAGCTTCAAGAAGTTTTTTGATTGTTTTTGGTTTTATGATGACTGTTTGAAGACTGACAAAATTTGTGAAGAAACAGCATTCTTGGTCTGAACACCATGCTATACCAGCACTGGCTCAATATTAATGCAGCCTCTTTTCAAGAATATGTTATTTCATTAATCTTGGTGAGATGATAATCAATATCATTATATCATCCAGTGCTGTACAATATAATTTTAATATCCACTTATACAATTCTTCCCCTGGTGACTCTCTCTCACATGCTATTAATCACATGACCTCATGGACACTCATAAATTCACTAACAGAAATCGTCACTCAAACACACACAAGACATCTCACACTCATACACCCAGAATGTCACATGCTTAGACAGATATATTCAGAACGTCGCTCATGTTTGCAAACAAACAAACAAAATTGTGCAATCAAGCATAATCTCAGAGATACACTCAGAATTACACACACGCACACATGCACAGAATTTCACATGCACACAACCTTATGCATGGAAAACCTCCCATACACAATCATATTCACATGCACATGCATTCAGCAATATGATGGAAGATGTCAGCAACTGTGCTATCAAATGCCATGTATTTGCCAATAAATCTACTCACCAATCCTCTTCTTGGGTTCTGCCAGGACTGCTCAATTCCATTCATTACAGTCTTGGTCCAAGCATGGAAAAACAAAGTTGAATTTTGGGGGTGAGGTGAGAGTGGTTGCCTTTGACATCAAGGTGGCATTTGATCTAAAGGGATGTCATGGAACCTAGTTAAACTGAAGTTAATAGAAATTGGACGGAAAACTTCAACTGACTGGAGTCAAGCTGAGCACCAAAGAACCTTAGAATCCCTACAGTGTGGAAACAGGCCCTTTGGCCCAACAAGTCCACACCAACCCTTCAAAGAGCATCCCACCCAGAGACATGCCCCTACTCCTGTAGCCCAGGTAATCTACACATCCCTGAACACTAGGGACAATTTAGCATCACCAATCCACCTACCCTGCACATGTTTGGACTGTGGGAGGAAACCAGAGCATCTGGTGGAAACCCACACAGACACAGGAAGAATGTGCAAACTCCAAAGAGATAGTCACCCGAAGCGACAATCAAACCCGGGTCCCTTGCGCTGTGAGGCAGCAGTGCTAACCACTGAGCCACCGTGCCACCATGATTCATGAAGATTTCAAGTTCAATCATCATCAGCTGCTTCATCAATGAATTTTCCTGTATCCCACAGTTGTAAATGAGGATATCTGCTGATGATTGCAGAATATTCAACAATGAATGAAACAGTCCATGTCCATAGGTTGCAAGATCTGGACAGCACTCTGGCTTGAGCAGATAAGTCTGAAGGAACATACATACCACAAATGCCAAACATGAAATTCAACAATCTTACCATTGCTGAATCCCTCCATCAACATCCTGATGTCATTGACCAGATATGTACTTGAACCAGCCAAATTAAACAGTATGGCCACTGGATCAGTGTGAGGTTGGGAATTCTGCAACGAGTAACTCACATTTTAATTCCTTAAAGACTTTCCACCATCCACAAAGCACACATCAGGAATATGATCAAATATTCTCCATATGTCTGGATGAGTCCAGTTCCAAAATGGTCAAGTTCAACACCATCCAAGACAAAATAGCCTGTCTCGTTGCCACCCCACCCATCACCTTAAAACATTCATTCCATCTTTCACCAGTGCACAGTAGCAGCAGTGTGAACTATATACAAGATATACTGCAACAACCCATGATGGCTCCTTTTACAGCACCTTATAAATCTGATGTCCACTACTGAGAAGGACAAGGACAAATTCTCTGCATTCCTTCACTCTCAGTGGGTCAAAATCTTGGAACTTCTTCCCTTTCTCCCAAACAGGACCCACACCAAATGAACTGCAAAGATTTTGGTTCACCACCACCCTATTGAGGGTAATTAGGAATGGGCAATGACTGCTGATGTTGGTAGTGACACTTAAGGTCCTTGACAATGAATAAAACATGACATGCAAATGTATACAGACATACGAACATGCTCATAGTGACTCACACCACCTGTCCTTGGCTGATGAATCACTGCCTATCGATATTGAACACCACGTGGCGAGTGCCAAGGACACAGAGTGTATACTGAGTGGGTGACTCCAATATCCATCACCAAGAATGGCTTGGCAACACCACTACTGACTGAGCTGATCAAGACCTAAAGGACATAGCTGCTAGACTGGCTCTGTCGTGAGGGAACCAACAAGAAAATAGTTGGGAGGTTCAGAGAGTTGAGGACTGACAGAGATTATCAGTAAACTGGTTGCTTGTTTTCTCACCCTCATTTGCAGAAAAGGTTCAACAGGCTTTGGGGCCTCATATCCGTCAAGCATGAGTTACAAAAAGAAAATCTGTTTCTCTGCCACTCTGTTTTTGATGTGAAATTCCAATCTTTGTTGGTATGATTGTGCATTTGACAAATCACATAATGTCGGGTCTCCTATTGTCCAAAATAAAGCAGGTGTCTGTTTGCTCAGACAACACACGTGAAGCAAGGCCCTATTCTTTTCCTGCTTTCAATGGATTAACAATGAGAAGTCTGTTCTTCATCCAGTGCTGAGCAGGTGTTCTTGGTTAAAATACTATTAGACATTACACCAAAGTGTCCACGCTGTCCTGAGAAAAGAGAAATGGTTTTATTGTATATTGTTTATGCTACAAGCTGGTCCTCTTTGTTTACAATACCGCAAAGAGTGCGGAGTCAAAATCATCTTTCAATTTCCTCTCATCATCTTTTAGAATTGTTACAGATATACCTTTGTTGATAGACGTGGAAGTGGAGTTGGAGTGCAATTCCCATCTTTTTGATCATGCATTCCCAGAAATAATTTGTCTTATGACAACGTAACTTTTGTGAATAGATTTTTTGGGAGGATAGGCACTCCATTAGTAAATTAAAAGAAACCTATGTGTTTGAACTTGCTACATCCCCAACTGGCTCCTGAATCCCAGCACTAATGCATTCTTCAGAGTTCATTTTAGTTATTACATTACACCTGCATCAATGGAGCGATTTGTTACTGTATTCAGAAGCATCAAATTGAGTAAATGTCAATATAAATGGATTAGATGAAACTAGCTGTTTTGCTGGCAAAGGACAGGGGGACTCGTAAGGAGCAGCATCCCACACAGTAATAGCCCATTCAGTATGTCAGTCATCCAACTTGAGTTTAAAACATGCAACAAGGTGTAATCTAATTCAAATATCATTTGGAATCTGACCTGTAAAGAGCTTTATAAAGCGTTTTATCAATCTTTAGGAGTTCCATCTAGAGTTGTCACAAGATAGTTTTTGTATCAATGCTACAATAATGATCTTGCAGGAAATTACAATATTCCCAACAATTTTGCAATTCCTTGTCAGTATTATCTGCCATCGATTCAATTGTTTCCCTTTCTGGGCTATTTATACAGGTCTGAGAATATCTGAATTCTACTTCATGCTTTATCACACCTGGGCTCCATTGCAATATCTTTTCAAAGCCAGGAAAGGAGTCAACACG